AGCGCTCTACCACTTGAGCCACAGCACCACTTCCAGCTTTTTTCTTTTTGCTTATGTGGTGCTGAGGAATCGAACCCAGGGCCTCAGGCATGCAAGGCAAGCACTCTACCACTGAGCCATCTTCCCAGCCCGAAGCAGGCATTCTTAAAAACTGTAAAACCACATAGGGGGGTTTAGACACACATTTGTTAAGAACAAGATGATGAGATAAAACCAACACATTTTGCTACTGATATGGAGATATAGAAATGAAGACATCATTTCTGAATCAGACTATGGCTGAGATTCAAAAAGGTACTTTTCTGTGTATTCCTTGGGTATCAGAAGATGCCATGGTATGTTTGGTTCACTGCTTTTAATGTTGAAAGAAGGTAATACAAAATACTGTTGCTGGGAGCTTATGGTTCACACTTGTAATCCTAGCTACTTAGGAGGCTGAGATGTCACAATTGCAGTTCAAAGCCAGCCCAGGCTGGCTTTATCTCCAAGAAACTACTGGGAAAAAGCTGGAAGTGGTGCTGTGGCTGAAGTGGCCGAGTGCTAGCCTTGAACCCAAAGAGGCTCAGGGGCAGTGCCCATGCCCTGAGCACTTAATTTCTGTTTTCTTTTGTACTGGGCATTGAACTCAGGCCCTTGCCCATGCTATCAGTGGTCTATACTTGCAGCCTCCATTCATCTAGTTTCTAAAGGAAATACCCCTGCATTTGGAAGTCTAAGGTCATATACCAAAACACTTAATTAACAAAACATGATGTAATATGTACATGGAAAAATCTTAAGCTTATTTGCCTCTTGTAAATGTGAAATACTGAACAGGAAGCTTTCCAAAATAGTTCATCTTAAGTCTGGTGTACTTTAATTTTTCATTAATTTATGCCATCTTTGGTAATCACATAACTTTTCTCTGCCTAACCATATCTTGGTCTCTTCATGTAAGAGAAGATACAAATGCATGCCTTATAGGCTTGCTGTGAATAATTTTTTTCCTTGAGTTTTCTCATATGTAGATTTGAAAACTATAAAATTATGGTTTACAAAATGAAATAAAACAATGTTTACAAGTGGAATAAAGAAATTCTGTTTTGTGTCAAGAATTTATAAATAGGACCGCAGGCGTGAGTTGACTAGCCGAGTGTCTCCTACATCCAACAGCGCCTTGCGTTAACTTCAGCCTTCAACTTTTCTGAAGGTTGTGGAGTTAGAAGCCTTTCGACTCTTCAGGACCACAACTCCCAGAATGCCCTGCTGCTTTCGTACATTAGAGTAAAAGAACGGACTACAATTCCCACTACACTCAGGGGCTCCGGAAACCTTGTTAACCACCACCTGTTGCCATAGCATCCGGGTCCAAGACAACCAATCAGTGCATCGTGAAGTAGGAGAGGTGGGACCTTCTCCTTTTCAACCATCCCGAGGTGGGTCAGCGATGGCACGTGACCGGAGGAGGCGGGAGCCCAGGGTCCGCGCCGTCTCCTTGCTTCTTGGGGTCGTAGCCTTGCACCCGCCGGGCGGAGGAAGTGTCCCGGCGGCTCCACGCGCGGGTGTGCGCGCGGGATCCCAGCTGCTCGTGCACCCTCGCCCAGACTGCGGGGACCGGAGTAGGAGCCATGGGCGGGGCCGCCAGCACTCGCCGGGTCACCTTCGAGGCGGACGAGAATGAGAACATCACGGTGGTGAAGGGCATCCGGGTGAGTGGTGGGGGTGGGGGTGGACGGATGTCCAGCCCTCGGACGGGGACCCCCGCGCCCCGACGGTCCCCGGACCCGACCGGCCTGCTGGCTCCCATCCCGGGCCCGCCCTGGTTCTGTCCCGCCAGAACCCTGGGTCTTTGGGGGAAGAACTCGGGAGTTTCCAAACTTGGAGCACTCATTCAGAGAGAGAGGTCTTGGTGGCGTGCCAAGTGCCAGGCAAGGCTTCGGGGCGAGTAGGGAGGGTGCCAGGTTGACTGGAGCTGCAAAGGGCTCTCACGGTCGAGTCTGCACCGGTCACTAGCTGCAGGACATGAGGCTTTCTGAGGTCAAGACCCCAAACCCTGCTTTGCACCGTGAAGGATCGCCTTCATTTACCCTGTGTCATTGAATGCTCTTCCCTGCCCCCTGCGCGCGCGCGCACACACACACACACACACACACTCACACTCACACACGCACACACCATCTTTTCTGGCCCGTCTGGCTGACTTCTGGCTTCTCCTTCACTTTCACCTGATATCTCGTTTTTTCCCCAGGCTCCTCCTGTTGGACTAGGCCCAGTTGCTACAGGCCTCAGCTCTACCAGCTTGAATAGGGGCTGACTTAGATGTGCAGTTCTTCAGGCTAGTTGAAGTTGTAATTCTGACTGAGACGTTGTAGAGAATAACTTTATACCTTCTGTGCATGTACTGGATACATAAACTGGAAACTTGATTTTTTTTTCTCTAGGGTGTCAGCATACCAGCACTAACTTTAATAACACGCTCTCCCCGGTGCACCTGAATGTGGAGCTGCACATTTTTTGGAAGTTTGATGTCTGAACCTAGTAAATAAAGCTTTATGACTTCAGAGAAGTTTTATAACTACAGTTTTTCCTCCTCTGTTATTACACAGCTAGTGTTGGTACATGTGTAAACTACTTGCAGCATTTGTTATTAGGAAATAAAAGTTATTCAATATTTAAAGTGTTTACAAACTTTTTCTGCTGAAATTGTTACCTTGGAAAGAACTTATTAAAGTTTTCTTTATAGAAACTCAAGACTGTTGAACTCAGTTTTTGGTCTGTGACCAGCATTTAATTCTCTATATATTGTATTCATGAACCACAGGACTATATTTTGTACTAAAATAACAGACATTACATGCTTTGCTATATTGTGATTTAATTGGTACTCCTTGGAGTAAAATGAAAATTAATTATAAGCTCTTAAATTTTATGCAGATATGAAAAAGTGTTGCCTTCCCCACTGGAAGGTGAAAAGTTTTAAAAAAGAAAAAAAAAGTAGATTTGGGTGAGATATTGATTAGAAAAACTTATAGATCCATGTTCTCATGCTCTAGTATCAATCAATTAAAAGAGATTTTTGACCCCACTACAGAGATTTATGCCAAGTACTACACTAGGGTGAGTAAGGTAAGCAGGACAATTAGGAAACAATGATTACAATGGTAGTCATTTTTTAAAAAAGGCCTTCTTACTCAATTTAAGAAAAGAAACTGTGCCTTTTAGCCAGACAATTTGATAGAAACTGTTATTTTTTTCCTTTTCTTCCATATATTTTATCTACATTGTTACTCTTTAAAGCTTTCATTTTTTTTTCCTTTCTTGTATGTACATTATATCAGGTAGAGAATGTTAAAACACTGCTTTCATTTTGGCTGTGTGCTTTTCTTCACCCATACTACCCTTGCACTCTGCTTCAAATCCTTTTCCAAGCATGATTTGCAACCTCCTTGACTTTCATTTTTCTCTCTTGAAAAATAGTGGAGTTGAGAACGTCCCTCAAGTCTTTGATCTTTTCCAGTTCTGAACTGTGAGCCCAGTGACACCATAACTTTCGTGTAGCCACGCTCAACCTAGTGAAGTTTCATATAAAAATGGCATGCTATTAAATTGTGAATACTTAGAGGTCATTATGGTTTGCTGGAGGTCATGGTCAAAAAGAATGTCAATTTGAACTTAGGTAGATTTTCAAGTTTTTAATCTTAGAATTTAGTCTGAGTGTGAGATCTTCAACAGCTTGCTTTTCTGATGATATAGTCTTATCTGTAAAGGGGAATATCATTCACTTCCTTTGATTGATTAGAGTAAGAAGATGATGAAAGGTATATAAAGCATCTCATAATTCATAGATTTTTAATACAAGATCGCCATTTTAGGGTTCCTTTCAACCCTGAAACCCTGAAAAATAACTATGTACAAAATGGTGTGTGATTTGGAATTAAACTTAACCTGGGTTTGGATCAAAGCATTACTTTTTACTAGCTGTGTTAACTCTTTCAGTGGTGTTTCTTATTTAGTGTATCTGAGTAACGCACCTTGGGGAGAACTTGACATGTATGTCAGTATGTATTACATTTACTTACAGTGTTTACACTTAATCAGTAGTACCTGTTAGAGCTGTTTAAAAGAATAGATGCATAAACATACATGGCCTTTAAGTGGTTACATACAAAACACATGTTTGCACCACAAGTGTATACCTCTCAGGGTTTGGATGGAAGATGGGAGGGAATCCTGGGTCCTGCCCCATTCCCATTGCCTGTGGGAATTTTGTCTAGGTTTGTTGCTGGTGTTTTTTTTTTTGGTAGATACCTTTTAGTTAATATTTTTCTTGGCTTATTGGAATAGTCATCATATTTCTCCTTGCAGACTGGGAACGGTATTCCCAGTATGTAAGCAAGGCATCATTTTTAGCTCAGTTGGTTAAGACAGTACTGATGAGGCCCGAGGTTCAGTTTTGATTGCAAAGGTCCATTTGAAGAAAAATTTCCAACTTTGATCAATTTTCTAACATTTAGGCCATCAGTTCTAAGAAACCAGATTGTACCAGCAGTTCAACAGTCACTGCCAGAAAACCATTTCTGTTTCATTAAGAATACTAGTCTTTTTTTTTCTTTCCTTCCTTCCCTTCCCTCCTTCCTTCCCCCTTCCCTCCCTCCTTCCTACCCTTCCTCGCTCCATTCTTTTCTTCCTTCTGAATTTTGCAATACTGGGACTCCTGCTTGCTTGGCTGGTGCTCTGCTATTGGATCTGCACCTTCAGTTCTGCTCTTGGCTGGTTATTTTGGAGAGAAAAGTTTCACGGACTTTTCTGCTCAGACTCTAATCTCAAAACCTCAGTCTCCCAAGAAACTAGATTTATAAGCTTGAGCCACTGATGCTCAGCTTCATCTTCATTTATCTTCATGTAGTAGATAGAATACCAACATAAACCATTCAATAACTAGGCCAAGATTATTAGAGTATTTTTTTTATGTTTTTCTTGCTGATGTCCTTAATAGCTATCAATTAATGAACTTGTTTTCACTTTTAAGCTGAAGGATAGGCTGTCACGTCCTATTTTCATGGTATTTATAGGGCCTTTAAAAAATTCTTTTTGCCCCTCCTTCCATGTTTGTTTGTTTGCTTATTTATTCATTTATTACTTTTTGGCATTTCATGACAGGGTTTTTCCATATAGTCTGGGCTGGCCTCACTACCTCTTGAATGCTAGGGTTATAGATGTGCTCTACCACACCCGGTGTAGATGTACCTGATTCCAGCTTCAAATCTAAAACCACTCCTGGCTTGGCTAAAAGGCTTGTTTTCCTCTTGCAAGTCTACAATAAATTTCTAGTGATTGAAAGACAGAACCTTTTTATTACTCACATTACATGTGCTTAATAGGATTTTTGTGACCACCTGCGGTGCCTGCTTGGAAGGTATACTTAGCACCCAATCTCACAAGTTTATCTTAAACATCAAAGCTGTGAGTGAACTCTTCTAGAGCAGATGTCAACTTCAATGAGTATCATTTTCAAAGTTTTACTTATCATGGTTTCCAGACCTAGATGGATCTTTGCATCTGGCCTTGAAGTTGCAAGTTAAAATTCACAGGAGCCAATGTGGCAGTATGAATACTTACATGATACATTGTATGCTTTGGGAGGTATTGGCTGTTCTGAGTTCCTCAGTGAAGGGATTACTCAATGAGATGTGTTAAGGAAGACTGTGGAGAAGGTATATGAGCAGAGAGGAAAGATTCATTCTGTCAGTTGCTGTGAGTGTTGTAGAAGTAATTCATTTAACTAATGGATGATTGGGTTCTTTTAACTTTAGATTTTGTGAATCTCTTGAGCATGCTATCCTCTTAAGCTTTGAAAATCTAGGATAGACAGTTTTGTGTTTTATCTGCTAATAACAAATGCAAAGGAACACTATGATAAACTGTAAACATAAGCTATGAATTATTTATTTTATAATTATATATCTGTATCTGAATGTACTCCCCACAGCACCCTATGTCCTTAAGTTTATGGGAGTAATTTCTCCCAAATAATAATAGCAGTTTTGGGATCCTGTTCCTTTTTTTTTCCTGGCTAGTTGTGGGGCTTGAATTCAGGGCTTAGACACTGACCCTAAGCTTCTTTTTGCTCAAGGCTAACACTCTACTACTTGAGCCACAGCACCATTTGTAGCTTTTTCTATCTATGTGCACTCTACCACTAAGCCACATTCCCAGTCCCTCCCCTCCCTTTTTAAAACTGGTATTGGGGCTTGAACTCAGGGCCTCATGTTCTTGCTTAGTAAGATTGCTTGGCTCTCTGGTTGACAGCTGGCCCTCCATCACTTGAGCCACATCTGTCATTGACATTTTGCTGGTTAATTGGAGATGGAACCTTGCAGACTTTTCTGCCCAGGCAGATTCTCTAGGTCTCAGCCTCCTGAGTAGCTAGGAGTATAGGTGTGAGCCACTGGTGCCTGGTGAGAGCCTGTTTCTTACAAAGATAATTGTAAAGGAATTTATCTTGACAGATTCCTATGTAGAAGAAAGATCAAGGGATAAAATGGGTCTGAGTTCTTTAATCAACTTGTTGAGACACATCTGGAAGAAGAGTGGAGAACTTGTTGGGCTGGGGGTCTGATTTGTTTCTTATCTCATGGTTCCTGACTTCACCTCTGAGAAGGGCAACTTAAGAGTTTCCTTCTCCTTTTACTCTGTCCTTTATTTTTGTGCTTCTCATCCAGCCTCCTGACTCTGAGAAAATACTGGATTCAGCATCTGGGGGTGGTGTGTTTGTGCTAAGTTTGAATGAGACCAAATGGGTGGGAAGAGATGAATGGGAAGACTAGAAGATCACACAAAGATCACCTCTCCTAATAGTGGTTAACTTCTAAGGCACAGAACTTTGTGAGTGTAAGCTATGGACTCTGCCCCAAGCAATGCAGTATAAGCCCATAGTTGAATGATTCATAGACTATGCAGTTTATGGGCCTCCGATTGTAATTCTTTGCATCAGTATGTGTATGGGTTATTTCAGTATTCTTTAGTATTAATAATTTCTATAAGTTGCATTTGAGATTTGTCTTGATGTAGAACCCAGAGAGATGGCTTGAAATCAGGCATTATAGATGTAGGAAAAAGGTTTTTGTGAAAGAAGTGCCCTGTATTTTCCTGGCAAAGTTGCTTCTTATGAGAGGCAGCTTACCCAGGTACAGTGACAGCACAGAATCACTGTTGTTTTGAATAGAATTGCATACACATTGGGGAAGGGTAATAATGCTCAGAGCCAAAGTTGTCTTTGAGGGCCGCCGTTGCCACTGGTGTTCCTCTGCAGAGCCTAAGGATTTATTTGTGTAGTTACGGTAAGAACAAAAGGAAAGGTTGACTGTCAGTAAGGCAACCCGTGTGTGTGTGTGTGTGTGTGTGTGTGTGTTTATGTGTGCGCACACGCACGCGAGCGAGCATGCATGTGCGTATGCCAGTCCTGGGGCTTGAACTCAGGGCTTTGGTCCTGTCCCTGAGCTTTTGTGCATAAGGATAGCGCTCTACCACTTTGAGCCTCAGTTACACTTATGGCTTTTTGGTTGTTAATTGGAGACAAGCGTTTCATGGATTTTCCTGCTCAGGCTGGATTTGAACCTCCATCCTGAGATCCCAGCTGAATAGCTAGGATTACAGGTGCAAACCACAGACACTTGGCTTTTTGTAAATTTTTTTTTACATATTTTGGTGCCAAAACTGAGGTTTGAACTATAGCTCAGTTTTTTCTGTCACTATTTCGTGCTCTGCCACTTGAACCATACTTGGTTAGTTAATTGGAGAGAAGCCTCCTGGAAAGCACTGTAGGTGTGGCTCAAGCTATATCTCCAGCCCTACTATGATATATATATATATATATATATATATATATATATATATATATATGGTCATTGGACTTGAACTCTTGGGCCTGGGTGCTGTCCTCACCTCTTTAGCTCAATGGTAGTGTTCTACCACTTAAGCCACAAACACCATTTCCAGCTTTTTCTGCTTATGTGGTGCTGAAAATTGAACCCAGGGCCTTATGCATGCAAGGCAAGCACTCTACCAACTGAGTTACCTTCCCAGCTCCTCCTATAATATATTTATGTGGTAGTTCCTTTGGGATACCTGTATCCTTTGGGATGTACAGATAAATTTACTGAACTGCATATAACTACCGATCGAAATGTTTTAATTGATACTCAGATGTGACACTAATTCTGATGCATCAGAGAAGCCACAAAAGCAAATGAGAAATTAAGAAAACATTTAGTGACAGGTTGAAGGAGACAATCCATGCTTATCACTCCAAGAGTATAGCCTCTTCATGCGCTCACCAGGACATCCATAGCTGCTGCCAGCCATAGCTGTAGGCCAAGGCCTCATTCTCATGTAGAGAGGAAAGGGTACATGCTCACACTCAGGTGGTGAGAATGAACTGAGAAGAAATAAAAATCTGAGAGTCCCCATGGCTAGAGCTGTGTGAATAATAACAGCACCAAATATCTGTGCAGCCAGTTACCATGGATGGTGCATAAACTATAGCCCTCATTATTCCTCCGGGTAAGTATTTTCATTTTTAAATGAGAGGAGTGAGGCCACTTCTCCAGGGTTCCACAGTTAGTAGGTAGACATGCTTTTCCATCTATTCTGTACCAGCTTTCTTTTCCCCACTCTGGGGGTGGGTGCCGTTTCTGAGGCTACATTAGGGACTGAAAGGACTTTTATAGTGGAAGTAGATGATAGTGAGGTATGGCTTTTGATGAATAGATGAAGTGGTATTAGGAGGTGGCTTGTATCTAATACAGGTGGAGGTTTATAGCTAACTTGATTTATAGCTAACTGACTTTCTGATTAAATCTAATATATATATGTCTCTATATATTAAGTCTAATATATATATATATATATATTTTTTTTTTTGGTCAGTTGTACGGCCTGAACTCTGGGCCTGCGTGCTGTCCCTCAGCTCTTCAGCTCAAGGCCAGTGCTCTACCACTTGAGCCACAGTGCCACTTCAGGCTTTTTTCTGCTTATGTGGTGCTGAGGAATCAAACTCAGGGCCTCATGCATGCGAAGCAAGCTCTACCAGGGAGCCACCTTCCCAGCCCAGTAAAATACATTTTTAATTTTGTAATTTTTTGATTTTGGCTTGAAATATAAATATTTAAATAACAAAATGAAGTAACCTTATAAAAATTAGATATAAACCAAGGGGCTGCAAGCGTGGCCCAAGTGGCCTTGTTGAGTACCTGCTTAGCAAACATGTGGACCTAGGTTCAAAACTCAGGACTACTGAAAAAAAAAAGGAATCATGTAAAACAATTGGTTTTATATACCAACTTTATGCATATGCATATAAATCATATTGGTTATGGTATACTATATATTTGATAACATGTTTAGGTAACATGTATTTATGGAGTTGTCTTTTCTGGCCATTCCATTTAAGTAGAACCATGTAGGTAGGTATGGTTCAAACCTGTCATTCCCAGAAATCAGGAGTTGAAGGTAGGAGGAGGTGAGTTTGAGGCCAGTCGAAACTACATAGTGAGATCCTGTCTCAAAACACATAAAGAAAAACTAAGAAAAAGCAGTCATACAGAATGTAGTCTTTTTGTATTTGGCTATTTTAATTATTTCTAGGCACAATTATTTTGTAGCTCGTATTAGAATTTCATTCCTCTTTGCTGCTGAACGATACTCTGATACTTGATAGATGGTTGTTTCCACTCTTGCTATTATGAGTAATACTGCTTTGAATACCCTGAGCAAATCTTTGTGTGGACATATGCTTAACAGCTTCTTAATTGGTCCTTTAGCCTCCTTGAAGGGTCCTTCTTCTGTGCTTATCCCTCTCCAATCTGTTCTCTCTCCTGTAGTCAGAGTGATCATCCTGAAATGTAAATCTGGTCATGTCATCATCCTTTAAAATCCTTTAGTAGAGTTCATTGTCCCCATGAAACTGGCTCAAGCGCTTTAAGGAGTTTACTAAGAGTTTTTGAATTCTGAACTATAATACCTTCTCTTTGCATTTTCTCTTTCATTATGGCCGCACTTCAGTTTTCTTTTTCACTCATTCATTTGTTCATTCATTCATGTACTTTTGTTGTTGTTTAACAATTTATTCTATTAACCAGCCTTCTTGAGCCTCAGGGTTATACAATAGGGCAGCTAACTCCTTGCTTTCATGAAACTTTCTAGTGTGAAAGGCAAGACAGTAGACAAGAAAGCATCAGGTACTGGTATGTACTATCAAAAAAGTAAAAATCCATGGTATAGTAGTAACTGTGGGGCAGATGATTCAAATCTCTAGGCCTGTGTGTGCCCGATTCCCCAGACTGCTGCTGGCTTCCCCCTTTGGATTTTCATTTAGATGTCTAGTGGTGGCAAACCATCTTCCTCATCAATTCTAAATGTGGTTTCTTTGTCTTGGAACATTCTCTTCCTGACCTTTGTTCCTCCATTGCTTGTAAGAAGTCTCCCCTGACTCTCTGCGCCTGCCTCATACCACACAGCTGGCCCTGCTGCGCATTACGCTTCTGTAGACTTCCATCACACGCTTGCAGACTGTAGAACCCTTTGTGTTGTAATTAAATGTCTGGCAGTTGTCTGTCTATTCCACTTTAAGCAATGTGATCACCTGAAATTCACAATCTAGCGTGGTTCATGGTACAGTTAGTGCCTAATAAAATCTGTTGAATGATCTATGGTTAATCCTTAAAAAAAGAAAGGGAGAAAGAAGGGAATGAATGCTTTTCTTTGGGACTGATAAAAAGGCAGGAGATAAGGGCTGTTAGTACATAAATAACTTTGTTGGGTTAAGGGAGAAAAGTTGGAGGAGTTCTTATGGCTCATATTTTTCTGAAATTCTGATTTATTGCACAGCATAAAATAAGGAGAAAAGTAAGGTATAATGAGCAATTAGTAGTGCATTACAGGAAATAAAGAAGTGGGACCAAGGGGTGTATCTTGAAATCTTAAAACCATTCTTCTTTGCTTCTAGTTTTATAGTTATTTGAGTTTGCCTGATTTCTGCAGGCCATTTTTTATGCATATTGACTGAGTCACTTGGATGTTATTGTACTATTTTTCCTTTTTGTTCTTTTAGCATTGATTTCATTTTAATGTTGCTTTTCAGCTTTCAGAAAATGTGATTGATCGAATGAAAGAATCTTCTTCATCTGGCCCGAAGACTCGGCGGTATTCTGGTATTTATGGTACATCAGGTATTGTAACACTTGAATTTTGGATTTTTTAGTTGAAAATTAGAAGTAGAAATAAATTCATGCAAGTAAGTTCCACTGCTCTCTATCTTTTGTTATTGGGATGGCCGGCTTTTATAGGAAATGTTAGAAATCAATCTCAGGATTTCTCTTTTTCTTTTTCTGCTTTTGGTGGTACAGTGGTTTGATTTCAAGGCCTTGCTCTTGGTCTTGCACTGGAGCCATGCCTCCAGCCCTTTTTGCATTAGTGGTTTTTAAAATGAGGACTTACGCCTTTATACTTCATTTATACTTCCTACTGTATCTGGACTGATAGGTGAATGCCACTAGAAAGCTGTCATAGGCCCCGCTTTTGTTGGTTGCGATAGGAGTCTCTTGACTGTTTTACCTGAGCTAGCCTTGAACTGTGATCTGTCCAATTGCAGCCTCCCAGTGAGCTAGGATAATGGGTGAGAGCCATTGTGCCTGGCTTGAGGATTTCTTTTTAAATATTGAACACTGCTTTCAAATAGCCTTTGGAAATTTTCTTTTCTTATCTGACTTCTGAACTCTACTAGGCTTTGGAAGGTTACATGATACTCTTTTTGTATAAAATAGATACATTTGTTTTAAATTTATTTTATTTATTTAAAAATAAATTTTTTATTTTTAAAATTGAACTTAGAAAATTTATTTTAAAAATTGAACTTAGAAAATAAGTGATCCTCCTCTCTCCTTCTCCTTCCCCTTTTCCTCCCCTTTCCTCCCCTCCACCATCTCTTACTTGACCTGCTGTACAAACTTTTAACTGGCCCCCTCTGCTGTGCTATGTACACAGAGGCCTTCACAATTTTCTTCCCTTTTTTTTTTTAAAAAAAAAACAACAAAAACCAAACAGTTTGATAGATCTCATGTCCAAAGGGTGGATCTCCAGAGGATGCCATCAGAGCTGTTTCCCTTGGCCTTGGTGATGTGCCATGCCCAGCTTTTTTTCTGTCTTCCCAATATCATGCCATCTGTTATCATTGCCGGCCACCTTCTCCTCACCCACCTCGGCTGTTACTGTCATCAGCAGATAAGCTTAGGGGCTTCCATCCTTTTTTCCCTGGCCTGTGTGTTTCTAAATATTATCCTAGGATAGTACTTGCTTCTGAGTGAGTGCTGATTATTAAGTGTTCATTGAATTACCTTAGAACAGATCTCATTATACCTTTTAAAAACAGCTACTTTTGATTATTCTGGAATATAATTCTGTAAATTTTTAAGCTATTTTGAGAGAATACAATGGACAGATTAATGACCTGTCCTTTCAAAGCATTTAGAGATTTGGGGCAGATACAACTAAGTATAGAATAAGACTCTGAGGGCGGAAGAGACAGTATAAAACAAGTCCTAAAAGATAGTAAAATTGTAAGTATTTTGTGTTAAACATATGTTTTGATTATGAGTATTTTTGAAAGTAAAGTTCCTAATAGATTCTAGGAAGATATATTATTTGGTACCACTACCAACTGTGCTAACAAAGTTAGGATAGTGAACTATGATAGATAACAAATAATATTTATTATGTAGTAGTTTTCTGCCAAATTCTTTACATACCTCCTATCTGATTGTACTTTCATAGAAAGAACTATTACTAACCCATTTTGAGACACAGCTTGTGAGCAATGGCAGTGATGAGTTTATGTCCATGTGACTCCATAGTTGTTAACCACTCTGTTTTGTTATAACTTGCACAACACCTTATTGGAGAAGAAATGTGGTAGAAACTAGTTGGAAGGAAGGAGGAGCCTCATTGAGATGCTTTGCCTCCCTTACAAAGAACCTTCTGTCTTTAGGGGCTTGTTGATTCATCTGGCTTTTTCCCATATCAACTACCTTTCAATAGAGAGGTGTCAGAAAAAACTAAGTTCTTTCTTAAGGTTGGTCTTTTAAATGGACACCTTAAATGTAGGTGTGGGTCGGTAGCCTTGCTCGTGGTGTGTATGGTCTGCAGAGCAGGACACCAGTGGTATGAGAAGCTCTGGCTTTGTTGAGGAAACCATCCGCTCCCAAGTCCATTCCAGGTTTGACATGACTGATGGACTCTGGTCCATGTGTAGCAACCAACAGCCTGGGTACTAAAAGAATTTAGAAAGCTAAGTTGTAATGTAGAATGTGGCAATCAACTTAGACATCTTCTCTCAAAATGGCAGCCACTAGTCCCATTTAACTAAAATTAACTAAAATGAAATAAAATAAAAAAAGTTACTTTCTTGGTTGCATTGGCTACATTTCATGCTCATTAATTGTATATGGATAGTGCCTACCCTATTGGACAGAGTAGATACCTTTCTATCACCACAGAAAGCTCTGTTGTAGGGCTGGGAAGATGACCTAGTGGTAGAGTGCTTGCCTAGCATGCATGAAGCCCTGGGTTCAATTCCTCAGTACCATATATACAGAAAACGCTGGAAGTGGTGTTGTGGCTCAAGTGATAGAGTGCTAGCCTTGAGCAAAAGAAGCTCAGGGACAGTGCCCAGGCCCTGAGTTCAAGCCCCACGACTGGCAAAAAAAAAAAAAAAAAGCTCTGTTGAACAACTCTTTTTTTTCTTTTTTTTATTGTGAAAATATTGTACAGAGGGGTTACAATTGCATGGGCAAGATAATGAGTACATTTCTTATCAAGCATTGTAGCCTCCTCCTTTGTTTCCCCTTCCCATCCTTTCCCATCCTCCCCTCGGGCCTCCCCCCCCCAAAGTTGTAAAGTTCGTTTTTGACATAATGACTTGTACATCTCATTGTTGCAATGGGTCCATCTGTATCCCTATTTAAATGATTCATTTTTTCCCTTCCCCTTCACAAATTATACCGACATCAAATACAGTGAAAGCAGGGGTTATACTGTGGGGGAGGGACATACAAAGCAACAAAGAAATCATAAATGTGCTAGAAACAATCAGATGAAAGAAAAAAACCATTTGAATACATATCTTAGGGTACTCTTGTCTACAGTACAGCAGTGCTTGGCATTGTGGGCCTATCAGACTACTTTTAATGATGACAGGTTATGGCTAGATGGCTTTGTGTGTTGCTATGTTCATGACCTTTGCTCCCTTCCTCATACCTGTGCCCCAGGAGTAGCAGTAAATAAAGCTTGTGGGAACATTCCAAGACATAGTATCTTTACCTCAGTCTTTCCTAGTCTGTATATTAAAGAGTAAACCTGCTCCTTAGACCTGATGTAGCTGGATCAATTAGGTAACACCATGTTTCATGCAGATGCTTTTTCCCCCTATTTGTACCAAAGTATAAAAAATCTTCTACAAGGCTGGAGGAAAGGCTCTGGGAGTACATGTGCCATGTCCTTCACCTGTTCCAACTTGAGCCGAGAAAAGAACTAAGACTTATGTGCTGTTTTAAAAGAATCTTGCCTTTAGGTTAAGAATGCAATTATACTAGGGTTTTATAAATTAACAGCGATCTATCTGTTCTTACAATTAAAAAGATATGTTGATGAAAGTAGAAAACCTGTCTTTTGAGTCTGTCTCATTTAAGGTTTTTCCTTGGTACTCAGTAATAGGTTTGTTATGATTTATAACTTAGATGTGTGGTGAAATAACTTATCACATGTAAAAAAAGTATTGATAAAAACTGTCACCAGCCTTTTCTACATTTTTCAGTGTGAAGTAAATTTTGTATTAAATATAACTTGGAATTTTTAATATTTATTAAAATGCTTTCTTTTCTCTCAGGACTCTTATTCATCGCAGCCTTAGGCTATTCATAGGTGTGAATATAGGGCACTGTATTTGAATGATTGAAGACCTCAGGATTTCTGAATATAAGAACTAAGTTGTGTCATATATATAGTTTTGGAAATGTAATTTATACTCTAAGAAAGTAAGTTCTTTTAAAGACTACTGAAACTATTTTTTGCTAAACCTTGAACCAGATCAATGAATCGTTGCAATAAGTATTTGCATGTAAAGCTGCTTGGGCAAAATAATATAGTGTGTGACACACAGCAGATTATAATGCCACTTTAATAAATGAATGTGCTCTTTAAGAACTTAACTGTGTCCTGGCTGCTCACATTCTCTGCTGCATTATCTCAGACTATATAAGTTTGCTCTTATAGCAGATAATTTTTTTCTTAGATTAAAATAAAGGATACCATTGTACATAATAATGGGCCTACCTTTTTATTAACATTTTGCATCTTTTGATTTTTAAAGAGCAGTATTGAGGACTGATGTGCTCCTTTTTAACCTGATCTTCCCCGCCCCCCCCCAACCTTTTGGCTTATAGTGATATTAGTATACTCATGTTGGAACCTATCTACCACTGAAGAAGCTGTCCTCAAATCAATATGAAAAAATATCAGACAGGAAGTGGTATTAGCAGCTATTTGTTGATTTCCTAAGCCACTAGCAACTGGATGGAAATGACAAATCTGGAAAAGCAGACAAATGAACTCACTTTTATTATTATCATCACTCTGCAAGTTCCTCTGAAAATTTCTTGTCATTGTGAAAAATAAGGAAGATGTGCCGATTTGTGTTAAGTATATCACCGAGATCACTAAGTATTTGGCAGCCTTAACAAATTGCAGGAAACCAATTTGAGCAGGAAATAGCACAGCCCAAACTAAACAGCCAATTTAGGGAAAAAGATTCATCTATATGTTCTGTGTATTTTTCTTCCAGAATCTGGCTTTCCTAGTTATTTTTAAACAGCTCTTTAAGGCTCATTTAGACATGGCACTGTGGGGAAGAGTTCAGAGTAAATAAGCTACACTTCTTCCTTTGACTGGAGTTTTACAACCTGAAGTGAGTTGCAGTAGGTAGGTTTCCAACTTGTAATGTGTAAGACTTTGTTGATGCCCCTGTCTCAATTATGCACTTTTTGTGTGTAATGGGTAATTCATCTGTAAGTTCCAAAGTTATTTCATCTAATTTTCTAGTCACTATATTCTGGTCTTAGAAGAACATCCATAAACAGTCCATATTTAATGGGTGGTTAAAGAACTCAAGTTGTTAGTT